CTCGTACCCAGACAGGGCTCCTCGGGGTAAGCTTGAGGTCATCATTCAGCGGTTAAAATTACAGCGTTTCTGGCATTAGTGGGGAAAACAGGGCTTGGAATTCTAATCTTTTGAAGAATAACTCTACCTCCTTCTTAAATTAATGCTGAGCAACATAATCTGCTTACTGAAATGAGGACCGTTTTGTTTCTGTTCTTAAATCCTACCCAAAGAACCATTTGCAGTCCGTCCTTTCAGATGCAGCACAGCTTTGGGGTTATCCCGTGCTTGGGGTTACCCCGTGCTTATGGTTATGTTTGCTTGGCTGGTGCAGCGAGACCCAGCCTGGCTTTTGGTGCCGCACACCAGTGGAGAAGCACGGGGTGGCTCTCCCGATGGTTTCTGCAGGAAGGTCACCAGCCACTGAGCGGAGCTGGGGCCGTGCAGGAGCCCGGCGGTGCTGCTTCCAGCCCACATGCCTCTGCCTCTTTTGCTTGGGCTTTGCAGCCTGGGTCGATGATAATTTGGGCACCTCTGTGGTGTGCTGTGGGAACAGCCTCGGCTGCTCCCCTCGGTTCCCTCACACCCCCTATTTTCGCTTTCTCCAAATAGAGCGCTGCATAGACACACTTTCACAGGGACCGTTGTTGTCTGTCACTGTCCCTGTTCTGAGGCAGCGTTTCCAAGATGGTAATTCCCTGCTCGTTTTACCCTCTGGGAATCATAGAATGGTTTGGGTTGGAAGGGATCTTGACATGGAGCGTTACTGGGGAGCTCTTTAGGGACACCAGTCTTCGAGATCATCATCAGAGGTGCCATATAATCTTATCAGTGTGATGGGTCCCTTTTCCTTCCCCAGCTGTTTGTCAGAGGGAAGTCCTCTCTGGGTCATACAGCAGGCTTTTGCAGGTTTGAGAGCAGCCTCCTTCCATCACCCCTGCAGCACCACAGGGAGAACTTCCTAAAAACGTCATGGGGGTGTTTTTAGAGGGACCTAGAGGCTGAATCCGCCCAGCAGGTCTGGAGTGGGCAAGGCTAGGAGGAACAGAGCCTTGCTTTCTGATGAGCAGCCGTGTACTTGCACGTGCAGCACAGGAACTCCTCATCCTTCTTACTTACCCAAGGAGCCAGTACGTGACTTATATATGCGACTTGTGCTGCCTCCTTGTCCTTGCATTTCATAGACTTAAGCCTGAGTAGTTTGCACTGATTCTGCAAAGCTGGTGAAGATTTATGCTGTCCCACGAACACTTGGCACCTTTCATCTGATGTAGAGCCTGTTGTGTTACGAAGAAAAGCCTGCTGTAAGAGGAGGGGCTTTCGTGGTGACCGTAATGCAAGGCCCTGCTTCCTCCTGGCATGATATCTACGTGAAAACGCGGACTGGTGCGGCATTTGGCATAGGTGCGCATATACAAAGGTGAGTTTGGGCAAAGAGGTTTTCGTGTTGCCTTTCAGACCTCCAGCTGTCCAGCAGGGCAAGGAGTTGCAAAGCGTGTGGTGGATGAACGCATATGGAAGACCAGGGAATAGGAAAAGTGAGCTGGCTGGGAGCAACGAAACCCTTGATTAATGCTGTACGTTTAGCATTTGAGAGGATTGCTGGGCCCTGTCTCTCAGCTTCAGCTAGATAAAGGCATTGCCTTCTAATTAATTTGATTTTTGCTTTTAAACTCATGGTTCTGGTGTGTGCCATTTTGCTGACAACAGCCCTTTGTCAGATGGGGAGAAGGAAGACTCAGCTGCGCCTCAGCCAGAAAAACTGTGAATCCACTTTTCTTTTACCACCATCGTTCCTTCCAGCTTGGCTTTACCAACATCTGAAAAATTACTTTTCCTCTCCCTGAATGCATAATTGGTTATTTATACACAAACCGTAGGGCATTTACTTGGTATACTTGACCTAGAAAAAAAAGATTAGTCAAGAACTATCCTACCAGATGTGAGTGTCAGTCAACATATGATCTCCATATAATTTATAAGGTATTAAATTACAAAATAATGAATCTTTTCAGTTAGTGTTTTGGCACATGATGATAGTATTACATTTTATGTGAGAATATCGACCACAGCTCTTGCCCCATAAAACTGCAAACAGAAATTTGTAAGCATTGGCACTAGTTTCGCTTGGAAAAAGACAGCCATTATGCTCGGATTACAGTCAAGCTATGTATGTACAGCCTGGAGGTTGTCCAGTCACACGCAGTTCTTTCCCCCCTCTCTTTTAACATTTCCTTAAGAAGGCTAGACAGTGGTTTCTAGGTTAGATTTTTTTTTTTCTTCCCTTGGATTTAACTAGAGGAAGGTCTGTGGAGCACAGAGCAGAAGGTCTTCCAGGATTCTTGCAAATGAGATATTCCTCTGCTGTCAGCTCTGAGGCGCTGGGCCAAATTCTGCTCTAGCTCACCCCGGAGTGACTGAGCAGGCACCATGGGTGAGAACAGCCCTGTCCCGCGAAGCTCCCAAACCCCACATAACCTGGGAATCTCATCGTTCTGCTTCTTGCTTGCAAGTGGAAAGAAGCAGCTTTAAAATAAGATTTACCAGCTGACAATTATATGTTGCCCGTTGAGAGCAAGCTGGCACGTAAACAAGTTTCTCATCTCTCTTTGTAAAATCTGAAATAAGAGCAGCGCTTATTCATGTACGATATATTTTTTCTTGCAAATAGGAAGAAGGTTTGAAACGCACCCTCAGCTTTTTAGTGAATCCTTCCCACTCTCATTCCTTTTACCTCCCATCCCTAAAAACGGAGCACTTGTTAAGTACAATTTTTAACAACCAGTTAAGGGCAGGGCAGTGGAACTGGGGTGCCCCACCTCTCTCACCCAGCTTAGGATGTGCCGGAGCTGTGGATGGTTTCGCAACCCCCTCTTCTTCCCTTGACAGCGCTGCGGTGTGACGGACGGTTTGCTGCACACGGAAAACCCTGCCTGTATCGAAGCCTGTAAAATCCCTCTTGGCTCACTTTGCATTTTGATCTGAAGTTATGGAAACAGCTTCTCTGAAATATATACGTTTTATGGCAAGTGTTGAAACAGGCTCATCAGCCAAAGGAAACAAGAATTTTAAAAAGCCCTCTAAACAGTTTGGTTCAGGCCTGCACAGGAGGGAAAGGGGCACGGCACTGGTTTTCGCTTTGCGTATGGTTAAACGGCAAATTCTCATGTTTCTTAAAACACAGCTCATTGCTTCTGTTTGAGGTAAACTTTTCTCAGCTGCGGACAAACTCACTGTAATTGACTGTGCCCTTGTCCTGCCACATCCATCTCATTCTGCAAACTAGTTTGAATGATCTGTCCTTGTTTGCATGGGGTTTTTTCTGCTCCAAAGTGGTGTCGTCTGAGGGTTTAATGTACAGCAAAAATCTCCCAAGCCAGGCTTGTGTGCAGGTTTCTAGTAAATATAGCTGTAACTTAAAGCTGAGATAAGATAGTTTGGCTGCTCTCATACTCCCTGCATATGCGTTGATTGTATACTTTCCTGCAGTAAGACCCAAAAGCCAGGGGCACTCGATAAGCCACAGTCATTTCAGGGCTAAACAGAATGATCTCTAATGTCTGTCTTAGCCTTGGTAAGCAATTGACTTTTTTATTCAAAGTGAATGTAGTGCTAAATAAATATTTCCTTCAAAGCATAACATTTTTTGCAGCTGAATTCTTTTCACACTTTAAAAAAACTCTGCTTTAAGTAGTAATCACATGTGATGTGTAGCTCTCAGTATCTCAAGAGGCTTGATCTGAGAGACTTAAGATAAATAGTTGAGTGGAAAACATCTGTTCAATTAATATTTTGTCTGTCTCTTTTTTTTTTTTTTTTGGCAACATAGTCCTAGAAGTAGCTTTGTGCTGTACTGTGGAAAATGTAGATTACTGATCTAACAAGTTGTGACTTCATACTTTTTCAAATTAAATTGTTTTTCTCATTTATGCGTCTTATGCTTAAGAATGAATCGGCCTGTTAACGTCAGTATAGCTTCAAATATGAAGCAATGGCTGGAGAAATGAACCATCTAGTAAAATGCAATGACATACAGATAGTTAACTTTCCGTATATTTATATAATCTATACCTATAAAATGCAATGCAGGATATGTAATAAATTAATTGAAAAAGAAGAACACACTGCTGTAATCAATTAAGAAAAGAGTGCGGCTAACTTGTTTTACTTACTCTTCTTTTGGATTTACTTTAAGACCCTCTAGCTTAATTAGTTAACTGTATCGCAAAAACCAGCAAGCAATTGCTTGTGAGATCTTCTCTTAATTGGATGCTCCGACACCAGTTGTCTGCATCCGAACAAGCTCTTCAGTAAGGGCAGCGTGCTGGTTCTTCAGCCCTTCGGCTGCACTCAGGTTCCATATAACAGCTCTGCCCTTGCAAGAACTCGGGGGCTGCAGGCCCTTTCTTTCAGCTGACTTTATAGCCTAGCCCTTACCAGAAATAGTCACACATCTCCTGGGGCATAAAAGCCCACGTGCAACAGAGCAGTAATGAGCTCTTTGCTTCTCCCTAGAGGTGGCATTTAAAATAAATTAAGACAGCTTACTCTGACAAAACTGAAACTTCTTATTTCAAAACTGCGTTATTAATTATTCTTTTCTCTTATTAATTTTTCTCTTCTATCACCAAGCAACTGGTTTGCCTACTTTCAGAACAATTATTTACGCTTCAAACCTCTCCATACAATAAATTCAGCATGCCTGTATCTAGTAAAACCAAGATGTATACTCTTGCAGTGAAATAAGGAAAAGCCAAAAGCTTTTATTATGCCTTTTTAAGCAAACATACATATTGTGTGAAGTTATTGAGTTAACATGATGATGGATCTCCAGAAGGCATGAAAAATTGCCAGGTATCTCTAAGAAAATTAAATTTTCTATTTCCCACCTGGTCCCATGTCAACTGCTGGGGAAAGAATGCCAAATGTTGGCATCTTCTGATGAAAGAAGCTGTTCTGTTCCCTCCTGAGTTGGTGCATACGTTGTCACCCATCCATAATCTCCAAAGGGAGAACCATCGGGATTTTTATATTTCATGTTTGCCTGTTGCATCTGATGGGACCATATAAGTATAAGGATTTGTCTACCTGTGTAGTTATCCCCCAGCATCTTTTCTTCATTAACACCACGTGTGAACCCACATATTCTGAACCAACTATTTCACACATGGTGTTAATCAAAAGTTAACGGAGGATAACTCCCTGTGTAAACATCTCGCTAGAAATGCGATTCAGATGTTAGGTCTCCTCCATTCGTAATAGCCTGGTCACTTATTTCATCCTGTGGCGCTGGTAGCGCAGTCTTTGTTAGAGGGGTCTCAGTCTTGAAAAGAGAATCCATTTTTATCTGGGTTTTTATGTTGAAAGACTTCTGAAAGGATTCTGATGTGAAGTAATAGATGAACGGGTCAAAGCAGCAGTTCATTGTTGCAATGCACAATGTGATTGGGTACATTGTCCTCGCAAACCTCTCCAAGGAGCAATTTGCTATCGCTTGGGACCGCACGAGAGCATACAAGAAGAGTATGGAATTGTAAGGCACAAAGCACACGACAAAAATGGCCACGTGCACAATGATCATTTTCAATACTTTCTCTTTGTTTGTCCCGATCTGAGACAAGGTGGCAGGTTTCCGGAGAGTCCTGAGAACTAGAGAAGAGCATGTAAGGTTGAGTAGCAAAGGAATTATGAATCCTACCACTTCAATAAATATAGTGATCTTAGACAGATAGGTTTTCCAGATACGTTTGGAAAAACCTTCGAAACAGGTTGTGCTGGTGTTGGAAATGTTGGTTGTGGAGAACAGTGACGCTGAAATTCCACCACTGAGGACCAGTATCCAAACACCGGCACAGACTATGGTAGAATTTCTCCTGGTCCTGATGGTGCGAGATCGGAATGGATAGACGATAGCAAGGAAACGGTCAACGCTAATGCAGGTGAGGAACAGCATGCTCCCGTAGATGTTAGTGAGAAATGCTGTGCCAGAAATCTTGCATAGGCTATCTCCAAAAGGCCAATGCCTGTTGAAATTATAAAAAATTTTAAAAGGCAAAGTGAACACAAAAAGCAAATCTGAAACAGCCAGGTTTGTCATGAAAATGGCTGTTTCACTTCGCATTTTCATCCGAAAGCAGAAAACAAAGAGGGAGGCACAGTTAGTAATCAAACCAAGGATGAAGACCACGCTGTACACGGCTCCATACAAGTTGTATTTAAAGGAATCATCTGTCAAACAGGTATGATTGTTGCTGTGGTTTCCCATGCCAAGTTTGTGATGTGCTTCCAAAGAACTTCAAAGTCTACTTCAGTGACATCCATAAAATAAAGCAGTGATCTCTCTTCTTCCTGAAGAAACGCATTCCAGGAAGGTCGCTTGACACCTTGCTACCACATCTCCGTCACGAATCCCTTCATCCTAAAGGAGAGAGAAATAGATGCCATCAGTCTTGCAACCTGGTGTCACCTAAAGCGGCTGTGCAAGAGAACACGGATTCTTTCCTTTCCAAATGAATGGATGTGCAAACAAGAGCAGCAATTAGTTTTCAAGGTGGTCCTTTATAAATTCCACTATTATTGGGAGTTTTCAAAGTTGAACACAGCAGTTACTGTACTCAGCCTTTCCTTCCCCCATCGCTCCCTCGTCCTCCTACTGGAAGGACAGTGATTGCTAATTCCAACTTTCTGCTTGGAAAGGTTTTTCTTTAAAACTTGAGGTGGAATTGGCCCGGTGTGTTTGGAAAGAAATCGTGGACCCATGATATTGCCCAGGTATCGAATCAAACAGTCTGAAATGTTCACCTAAACTTGTAAGAAGAGGAGAAAAGTTGAAAGTTTTAGTGTTTGCTTTTAACTGTGCAGAAGTGTAAGTTCTGTGGTTTTTCAACCTTCTTTGGTGCAGAAGTATTAAAAAAAAACCCAAATCTTTTATTGACAAAGTTCCGCTTTGCCTTTTTTCTACTTGAAAATAGGAGCATACTTACACATGTTTTTCAAAGTGAAAAACTGAAATGTTTTATTTCAGAAATGTTTTCCAAAAATATTTTCCAAAGTTACGCTTGCCACTCTTGGAAAATGTTGCCTTTTTTTTTTTTTCCTTAAAAATTTCTGCAAAACTGGAATTACTTTCAAAAGGACTGTTTTTGCAAACGTAAAATGCTTTGCAAAAAGGACTCCTCTAAGTTGTACTGACAGCTTCATTTCATTTCTACTCTTTGTCAAGGTTTAGAACCTGAAATTTGGGAAATCTCTTAAACACACTTGTTTAAGAATTTGTCCCGATTCAGTAAGCTTTAGAGAAGCGTAGAGTTGAAGCAAGCATGCTGTTTGTTGGAAATCAGTGCTTTCTGAGCTGTCTTGATGTTCTCTTATCGCTATTCTGAGTATGGGTTTTAAGGCCTGTGAGGATAAGCAGCTGTAAAGCCGCCCTCGTTGGAGTGAGAAGGGTGTGTGTGTTGGAACGGGGGCATGGCAGTCGGTACATCTTGGAAATGCGGAGCAAAGTTGGATAACTAAGGGAAAGACCTTTGCCTTGTAAAATACAGCCAACCAAATACGAAACAAAGTTTATAATCTAAGAAACATCTTAGTAGCTACAACTGTGGAGTAATTTAGAGAGATTAAACCCTTGTGAAGAGTAGGATCCTTTCCAGAAAGTGATCCTCTGACAACGCAGTTTCAATGGCAAACATATAACTGAGCAAGCTTGTGTTAAAGGTTGAAATGGCAACATATAAACAAATAAACTGGGGAAGAAAGCATGGAATTGAGTCAATTTGGGTTGCAAACTGATCAAAATCCAATGTTTCCCATATGTTTTCCTACTGGAAAAGCTCACGCAGACAACTGTTCTTGCGCGCAGGCTGTCAGCGGGTCAGCTGGTAAAACGTCAAGCGTTGAGAAAGATGTAACAGCCACGGCTTTGCCAGATGGAAGGCGCAAATTCTGCCCTCGCCTGGGAGCACCTGGGCGTCTGCAGGCCTTACAAAAACCAGCGCTGTGACCCAGAGAGCAGGCAGCACCTCGCCTTTGCACCTTAGAGGTTAGTTGGACGTAAAGCAAAATAGCAGGAAGGGAGGATCCCCAGATCTCCCTTCTCAGAAAGATGACTTTCAAATAACTTGAACCTTTTGACATCCGAAAAGATGACTTGGAGCTGTTTGGTCTCTCCTGTCGGGGAGGGGTCATGCTCTCTGTGGGCCGGGGCAGCGAAGCGGTGCTCTGGGCTGGTATGCCGTTCTGGCTATGTTTGCCGTGCGCGCCTTGAACCACCGGAGTTCCCTGTGATTTTCATAGGCAGCTTTGGTACACGCTCTTCACCCGATTTAGTAAATTCTTCCTTCGTTTTAGTCGCCTTTTGAATTACACATTTGTGATGATATCCTGCATTAGCTAGTGTTCAAACCCCGAGTAGATATGCCCTTATCTGGTTGCTGTTGAATGTGTGGCAATGACAGAGGAGATAAAGCCCGCATTGGAGCTTTCTCTACAGCACAGCAGACGCTTCATTACACAGACTGTACAGGGCTTTGGGGGACAGATGGACGGAGCAGGGAACGGGCTGCGTAGGGAAGCAAAATGTTCCTTGTGCCCCTTTCTGCTTTTGCACTCATCCCAGTGTTTTTCCTACTAAATTGATGGCTAAGTGAACTTTATTGTGAAATGAGCTAAAGAAGATACCAAGCATTAGGGAAAGGATAATAGTAAAATCTCAAAGGTGCGCTTTCTTTGAATATGTAGTAATCCAAATAAGCGGAGTCTCACCTACAAATTGAAACACCTTTAAGCAAGAACTTAGTTGGATTCAAAAGCGCATGAGCTCCAACAGGAATAGCTGTGCCTCTTAGCTTAAACCTGCATTGAATTCCTGGCTTGTAACTCCCTTTCAGTAAAGAAAGAGACTGCATGTTATCTCCGTCAGGAGCAATTTTTGTTTATACTGAAATGTAGCCTCCACAAGTAGACCCTTTTCTTCTGCTGTGTGTAAAAACCAGGTGTGCCAGACTCTCCTGGTCCAGGTTTCATGTCTGGGTCCTAGCTGGGGAGGTTTGAGAGGGATTGGGTGTCCTTCAAAACCTTACATAGCCATGTGCCTGGGAGGGCGGTGGAAACCCCGCTTTCCAATCTGTGCGCGCAGTCCAGGATTTTGGCTGTTCCTCAAAACGCAGCCTGACGCAGCAGGTTTGAAAGGCAGCTTTGAAATGCTTACCTTTACTGCTGACACACGCGGTCCTTGCCAGCAGCCTGAGCCAGATACTGGTTACACAGGAGAAAAGATGCTCTATCGCTTGATTCTTTTTTTCCCTGCCCTGCATCAGACAGCCACAAGGTCAAATACCAGTTTTTCTGGTGTATGAGTCTATGGGAATTGCCTGCCAGCAATTGTCTAGCTACGTTATGGTCTTTAAAATACAGGCCTGTGTTGTTTACCTGTCTAACACGGAGGTGCTTAAACAAGCTGACAAGTTGCTTTGAAACTCAGCCATGTGCTTTAAATTCTGCAGCGTGAGCCTACAGATTTAGTTCTCTGAATGTAAAATTCACTTTTCTTCCTCTCCACTGAGGATTAAAGCAGGAGGATGCTCCTCGTGTACACCATGTTCACCACTGCTATTGCCTTGCTGGGGAAAAAAAAACTAGCAATACATTTTAAAATGCTGAGTTAAGTGAATATAAAGAAAACCACTTTACTGGTCTGTATTTCAGGCGGGCCAAAGCTTTAAATTCTGTGTATAAACTGGGGGGCAGCACACAAGGGGAGGAATGTAGCTGTTGTCAGCAGCGGTACCGTAACAGAATATACAGCCTGTTTAATGTGGCAATATTGAGAATATTCTCTCTTGTAGCAGGGGTGGTACAAGCAAAACTACGGCAGGTGTTGCTTACTCACATAACCCTGTTATTCTCAGAGTTATGACGTGTGGGGTTCATCGGAGTAGCTGACAGGGGTTGCTCCCATTTGCATTTTATTGTAGAGATATCCCCCGACTTCTATGTACTGAAAGTAAAGGAAAACCTCTACGTATTACTTCCTACAGTGCACGAGTATCCTGTTTACAATTCTTTTATTTCCTCCTCCTGGCACCCAAGAAATCTTCACAACAGCCAGCTTGCAGCTTAATTCAGATCAACCTGTTTTCTGTTAGTACAGAAAATTCCTGCGGGTAAAAAGCGCACACTTTAAAAGCAGATTCGCTAATTCCATTAAGCCCATTCTTTCTGCTTCACACAGGTCCCATTCTCCACAAGTCCGTCAAATTGAGGTCAGAAAAAACAGTGTGAAGTTTGGGACCGACATTTTTGCATCTTCACATTTTCTTTTTCTCATACGAGATGTAAGATGAATGTAACTTTATCAGTCTGAATATGTAGGACATCCTCTGCGTGTTCATTTAAATAACTAAACGCTGCAAAGCCTTTTCTTGTGAGGTCTGACACAGACCAAATGGGAAAACCTTTCAAATCTGAAGGATCTCTTCCTAGATTATCACTATGCGTACTGAGATTATTTCTAAATCTTGTGAGACAAAGGTTTTATAGGTACAGAAGCCAAAAACTGACGGATCAAAATGTGGGGATCCGGGCTGTTTGGGGGGTTTTGCTGGGTTTTATTAAGAAATGTCTCTAGGTTATGGCAGCACTTGTTGTGTTTTGATATGCTCTCAGACCCCGACCTTGGAAATAAATAAGTATTTTCCTTGGGCACAGCATGCACTTTATGCCTTCTCTTGACAAGAACTACATTCATTAGAGGGTTTTCACTTCCCTGTTACTCACCCGGTTGGTACAATGATGTGTAACTCACCCCCACCACTGAGCCCGGGGTTACGGCTTTACAACCACAAACTCTTATCATTTCTTCAATTTCTTCGTTTTTATTTCCCTCCTTCGTTCCACTTTAATTATGCAGAAGGCTCAAAAAAGGCTTTGTTGGGGGGGGGGAGGAGGAATTTGTTTGGGGTTTTTTGAAGATTTTTGCATAGATGATAATTCTGCATAAGGCTATAGGACTTGGATTCTTCTAGACTAAGTACTATAGGTAAGGTGAGATATATTGCAACTGTTTGAATATGGACTTAACAGATAACGAAGAAACTTTTTCTACCTGGAAAAGTAAACATTTCTGACAATTCTATGACAGTGCTAATGAGGAACTGTAACACCACCAAACTATCGTTCCTAAAGGCTTACAAATGTTCACTTGAAAACCACAAAATATGAACTTAAAGAAAGCAAAGCAGTGATGGAAAACGCAACACAACTGTCTCACCACCGAGTTCCCTGCTGCTTTGTACTCTTGCCACTCAGTGCTGGCAATGGGATCTCCACTTACTTTCTCTTTTCAATAAAAGTTTCACTATTTTTTTTTTTTTTGGTTGCAAAGAACTTTGAGAGCATTAACTGAAAGCGGTTATAGGA